ATATTATTAATGGTTCATCAATTACTTTAAATCATATTGATGTCGAATCAGAAGTTCATATTAATGAAGATTTTCATAAACAAATTGAAAATGTTTTAAAAAAACGTTTACCTTCAATTATTCATATTGAAATTTTATTTCCATCAGATCAAGTAAAGCGTTTATTTATTTTTGTTTTTATTTTATATATTTTTAATAGATTTTCGAAAAAGAACAATGGAATAATTTAACAAATGATGAAATCTTAAAAGATTTAATTCCATTAAAATATTTTCAAGAAAAATTCTCTCCATCTGGTCAAATCTTTATTAGTTTAGGAACACATCAAACAACAGGTATTGGAATGCATATTTATAGTCATTTAATTCCAACAATTGAACGTGAAAATCTTGATTTACAAGATCCATATATATCAATATGGAATGAACAACTTCTCAAATCAATTGGAAATATTATTCGTTTTATTTATGATCAAACAATAACTAATATTGTCAATAATCATTCACAATATCTTAATACAATTCTTTCATTTTATTCATTTCAAACAACTGTACCAAATAAAGCAATTGGTTTGTATATATTCTCTTTCTCATATACAGAATTGTTTATGTGTCTGCAGGGTCAAAAAACATCGAAAGTCGATTTTTCGGAAAAGTCATTTCTTGAGGTATTTCGATGCTGGGTATTCAAATGTTTCCCTGCTAGTAGTGCAGAGATCATAAACTGCTGGTTTTCTTTCGTATAAGACTACTAACACTTCACTAATTCGTTAAAGGCTAGTTCGACATGCCACTGGCCCCGACAGTTTTAATACGTTTTGATCTTCATTTACCTCTGAGTAGGATGCGAGTATGTGTTAAGAGTAAGGAACAAGAAAGTGCTGAGCGAGTCTTCAGACGAACGTTACTTGCTATCTTTCTCATATAGAGAAGAGTCTTGCAAAAATAATCGATTATTTGTTTTAGGTGAATTTCTTCTTGATGGATTTTTATCATCTGATAAAGATATATTTGTACCAATACAACGATGTTCATCTGATAATCAATTATTATTGATTCCATCTCGACATGCATATTTAAGTAATTCAAAATATCTTGAAAAATTTCTTTCAATTCCACTTATTCCATTTGATATTGGACAAAATGAATTTATTCAAATATTAAGACATAATAAACAAATTCAAGAATTAACTAATGAAATAATTCGAGAAAAAATTCGTGAATCAATTTTTCTTTATGATGAATTAGTTAATTTACTTCATTGGTTATGTACAAATATATTTGAAGATAACTCCTATATAAAAACAATTCTATCCGAAATTTATTATCGTGAAACATCTCAATCAACAATAATTGAATTAGAAAATATTGAATTTTATAATATATTAAATCTTCCATTGATTGTTCCTCTTCCATCGAATGTTTTACCATCAAATATTGTCAATCACATTTCTCAAGAAGATTTAGAAAAAAAATTATTTTTAACAAAACTTCCAATAAGAAATTTAATTCAATTTTATCTTCTTCCTACTCAACATTATTTATTTGAAAATGAATTCACATCAAATATTCTTCTTCATTTATTTTCACAATATTGGAATCAATTTAATACGAATAATTTAAATAATATAAAAATAATTCTTTCAAAATTAAAATGTATTTCTACAAATCAAGGAATGAAATTACCTCAACAATCTTATATTTCTTCAGCAAATTTATCGAAAGATTTACCTCAGATTACATTTGACATGTCTTCGGAATATTCTCTATCGATTGAATTTCTTAAATCAATCGGATGTCGCACAATTGATTTTTCAACAACAACAATAGCGAATCATTTAAATTCTATGAATAATAATCAAACATTACAAGATCTTATTCAAAATCTATTAAAACAACGAGATAATATGAGTGATACTGATGTAAATGCTTTAGGAAATACACCTTGTTTTGCAGGTTAATTGTGTTTTTTCTTCTTTAAAAATTCGAATTCTTCTTATTTAGGAATCAATGGTGAAACTAAACGTAATTATAAAGCTAATGAACTTCATTTTCCATCTGTTGCAAAAGAATTTCAATGGAAAGATTTATCAATTATTGATTGGATTGATATTAATCCATTTTCACAAGAATATATTTTTCTAAAAGAACTTGGTGTCAAAGAAGCACCCGATTTACAAGATTTATTTTTACATATTACACAAGAACATAATCAAAGTTCAAAAATAAAATCCGAATATCAATTACCACCATCATTAATTTATTTTACTGAAAATTTTCGAAAATATTATTTAAAAATTTGGGAAAATAATAAA